ACGGAATTTTCAGTCCCATGATGGCCTGATTTACTGATGCAATAGCACACAATTACACAATTTTCACTTACTGATCATTAAAGACATGTTAAATGTTTAGATTTTAGTTTAGATCTGGAGCTGCAAGGCTAACAATGCTAACAAACAGTATGACCCAGGTAGCCCTAAAGGTTTCTCTAAAAATACATCCCCAACAGCACGCCTGACTGTGAACTTTAAAAATGATCAAAACCTCACTGTGTACAGCCTCACAACCTCACTGCAGGCAGCCATTTTAGACAACAGGTTTTGTACTGACAAACCACCTCAGACTAGCAGTGCTGCTCTAGATGATTTTGTCACAATGGAATCTGATCCAAAATCAGTCCTCTAACTTACTACTGCTTTGTGAATTCAAGCCCTGGTCTTGTCTAAAATGGCTGGTAAAGTTGTGTTAATTTTTATAATTTGCAGTTAGTCATACTGTTTCCTAGAACACAAAGATTAGTCTGTGCGTTCTTAATAAAGACCTGGACGCAGTTTGAGTGGGTTGAGGTAAGTTTTGACAATGTATTTTTATGAAACTGGTTTGGGCTATTTGGGTAACTTGAATTATACTGTTTGTTATCAAGGCTGGACTCTCAGGTCCAGTTCTAAAACAGAGCAGTGAAAACTGGACTCCAAATACGTCTTGGCAAATCAACTACTTCTGTGGTAAATGGAAAACTGTTAATTAACCTCAAATTGAAGCTAGCATTCTGCACTTAAACTCAACCTTTTTGCACTTTAAATCTAATTATTGGAGTAGAGATGCAAAACAGAACTCGTGCCAAATAACAGAGCGCACTGTTCATCACACAAAAAATTAATGCAAATTTAGACGCACCATCTAATAACATGACATATGCTAACAACGCAGCAGCTGTTTTAAGGTCTTAATGAATGATTCCACAAACCTTAGTTGCTGTAATAACTGAGAGCTGCGTGTGTTCTAACTATTCCACTTCTCTTTTTCTCCATTTCTCTTGTGTTTGCTCGCATCCTCTCTCTCTCTCTCTCTCTCTCTGGTGAATCACATAACAGTGCTGGCTTTGAGTATGTGGCAGAGATGCAAGTGCTCCCAAAGAAGCAAAGAAGGCCAAAGATTTACTGACTGAACCGTGTTCTGAATAGCGACTAGGCTGAAATCAAACTGAAAGTGGGCGTCTCCTAATATTAATGCAACAGCAGTTAAAAGTCTACCATGTGGTGATTCCTATTGATTCTGTGGCAGCATAATAATGACAGTAACAATCATTTTAATAAACAAGGCACCAGTCATATGCGCACAGCTCAACACCACCACTTATCCTAAAGGCTAAATAGGTCACTGGAAACCAGTCACGGAATTATACACCACAGGTTTGTTCCTGCAGCTTTCCGTCTCTCCTCAGAATGTCTCTCTCTCTGTCTCTGAGGCCTTTCCATTCCTCTTTCAGTTCTTTCCATTGGTCAGGTCCCTGTGCCACACATTCCAGGGATGCCTGGTACATATGGTATAAATTCCATTCAGTCTGCTGAGGCCCTCCATGCTGTCTGAACTACTCCGTGCTGGACTGACTCCACCCTGCCTCAGAGCCAGGCCAGTTCACTCTCACTGCCTAACTACTACTACTACTACTACTGAGAGAGGGGGGGTAGACAAGAGAGAATGCAAGAGAGAGAAAGGAGAGCAGCAAGAGAGACAGATGAGCATGAGTGACAGAGAGAGAGAAGCAAAAGAAAGGGGGAGAGGGAAAGAGCGAGAGAATCAAAAGAAAGACAAAGAGAGATGTGAGAGAGAAAACGAGAGAAGAAAAGAAAGAGAGAGACAGCAGAGAGCAGGGATACAGAAAGTGAGGTTAAAGATGAGATGAAAAAAATAGAAAGATTGCTTCCCTCTAAAGCTCTCAAAAAGAGCAGTGAGAGAAACAGATGAGAGAGAGAGTAAGAAAGAGAAGCAAAAAAGTGCAGAGAGACAGTGAGAGAGCTAAAGAGAGAAGCGAAAGAGAGTAAGAGACCGAGGGAGAGAAAGGAAGAGAGCAGTGAAAGGAAAATGTAGGAACAAGAGACACAGAAGACAGGAGAGAGAGAGAGAGAGAGAGAGAGAGAGAGAGAGAGAGAGAGAGAGAGAGAGAGAGAGCACACTGGAGGAATCAACAGGTTTCTTCGACACATTATGAACAGGTCTGTGCTTAAAAAACAGCTGTGAAGAAAATGCATGTGCATGGCTCCGTTAGGTATGTATAGCCAGCTCATGTCAGGGGCTGATATTCAGTGAGGAACAATAGCACAAACCTCTTAACTGGGTCACTTACATGCCTGCGTGAAACACAAAGCCTGCAGCCCATTTAATCAAGGGGAGATTAGACAGGTCCCTCAGGGAAGGCAGCATGGGCAAACTCACTCTAAAAGGTCTGCAAGTCACTGACACCAGTGCCAAGTCACTGTTAGACATCACTCAACACCAGCGTTACGCGGCGGGAGACAATTGAGACTACATCCTGTTTAACTTTACCATATGGTGAAAATGTGTCCAGGCTATATAAGAATGCAGGCTGCGATTAAGACCCAACTCCGCATTGGGCCTGGGCCATGAAGGAGAAAACGTCCGCAGGCCTGCTTCCAGGCACAGGAACTGTCAGAGTGTCCAGCACTTGGTCCCACAGGACCATGGGGCTGCACAGACGGGAAGCTCCACTATACCAGAGCCAGCAAAGCAGCAGAGCGGCCACAAAACCAAACGTCTGCCCTCCCACATGGACAAGGCAGACAACTAAACAACTGCCAAGCAAAAGGGAAAAAAGAAAAATCACAAAGAGCCTCACCCCCACAAAGCCCACTCAAAGTCTGTTACAGCACAGGACAGCACAAGTATGAGTGAGTGAAGGACTTCATGCAGAAATCCCATTGTAATAGCTCTCCAACCCACTTGCAGTATAGAGTGCAGCAACTTCAGCACTGACAGCAGAACAGTGATATAACTCTATGGGCGTGGTCCTCTGGATAAGTCTCCAGACCAGTACTTTTCTCCCCGGGCCAGCGGGCGCCTAGCCGCGCTTTAATACTCATTTCCAACATTCATTCCAAAGGCTGTAGTCACGTCCTCGTCTCCAGCGATCTGCTCATGCAAGCACGATAAACGCTCCAAGTATTTCGAGTTAGAGCGTAATCAATAGTGCAGAGTAGGAAACGAATGTTCAAGGGTTCAGAACACTCTCCTCGCCGCTGTCTGAAGGCCCTCGCTCTAAAGAAAACATCTCGGCTATGTTAGAAACCAGACAGAGAAGGGGAGCCTGGGCAAGCGCAGACCTTGAATAACGATCATACTGTCTCTTTGCTGATTTCTCCATTCAGCAGGCTTGCCTGTCTGGGGAGCAGGCTGAAGAGGCCCTGAGACACAGCCGGTAGATGTCTGTATCAATCTTTCCAGCCATGCTGGGATGACGACTGAAAAGCATCTAGCAGTGAACTCAACTGCATGACCAGACAATGGGATCACCCAGCAAACATTTACTAAAGGGCGGAAAAAAAATGGTATCCCAGCCCTTTTTCAGCAGGAATTTCTGAAGAAGGCCTTACGGGAAGGAATTAATCCCTCATTTAGTTTAGTGCTTGGCAAATACTGCTTTGCAAAGGCCTTTAATAAATTAGTCCAAGTAGTGTAGATCAGAGATGACCAACCTGCTGTGACTACCACAGGTCATAGACCAGCTGTGCTCCATTTCGCTGCTGTGGCTGCTTTTTCCAGTTCTAATGATTTCTCATGGAAGCTTCTCTTGCTCATCATTTTTCAGGAACATTCTCTGCCCTTCATCCATATAAAAGCCTTTTTGTAACATTTTGAATTCTATTAAAACCTGACAAAGGACGCACTTCTTGATTGTATAATAAAATGATACAAATATTATGATAAATACTTGCCTGACATTTTGAAATATCAACCTGCCTACAGTTCATGTGTTTTGATCAAATTCCACAAATTCCAGGGTTCGACTGGAGATGACATGAGGTCTTTAGGAACAAATAAACGTAATTCAATAGTATGCATTTCTTCACAGTAGGCTTGCGAAGAGAAATTCAAGGCCACCTACGGCAGATGGCATCTCTGACGCATTTAAGATGATGGAAAACTGACCCGGACGTTCATACAACTGCCTGTCTCTCCCCCAGTCTGTGAAACTCCAGCTCTTTATCCCTTATACCGGGCCAAAAGTGCTAACATGGCTAACAATGAATACAATGAACAATAAAACAGCTTCCAGGTAGCATTATTTATTTGCATAAATGCTAACATGGTTAAAACATTTCATTCACCATCATTTCTGGTCAAACTATTCCTTTAACTGATAGGAAAAGGGTCCGTGTCACTGTATGCGTATATTATATGGACTACGTATGTTCATCTTTTAAAGGCTTTAACTCAGAAGGCCTGCATTTGAAATTAACCATGATTGTGCATGATTGAGTGACAGCTAGCTGATCAGCATAGTCATGGCCAGGAGTACCAGGGCTATAAATAGGCTTGCTGTTTCGCCATACTAAAAGCTTATTCACTAGCATAAATCTGAAAACCGGTCAGGAAAGGACGTGCTACGTCAGAGCTCTAGCAGCCATATTTTAGGCAGCGTTTTTGAGTGGTGAAATCCTTAAAGAACAGTTGCATAAGCATGTGTCGGGCAGCCTGTAAACACTTTATTACTTAGCCATTACATAGCTCACGCACATGCAAGAGAACACAGATATCAGACACTGGTGGGCAGTCGATGACAACAATGTCTAAACTGAGGCTGAGGAAATTAAGTGACTGTACAGTAAATGCTATATTTTAATCTTACATTACAATAAGATTACAGACGTTTAACCTGGATCTTAGAAGCTTTTTAGAGTTTACAGTGAAGTTTCCCTTTTGTGATCTAGGCAATATGACATATTCTGACTGCATTAAAACAGGCTTTAGGCACACACACAGTGTATCCTGCACTTTTAATCACATTTCATACCTTTGCAGTTAGTTGGACGTCATTTCAGCAGAAATCCACTAAGAGACACACTGTTGCAATGGGAAGCTCTGACGAACAGTTTCTCACAGCTCACACTGTGTATGGAAGAAAAAGAAAGGTAAGAAAGGCCAAGTTGACGAGAGGAAAAAGGAAACAAGTAACTTTTTCAGGGAAAAAAACTTGCTCATCCATATCGCAGTGTACAGGGTGGGGCCGTGTGAAATTTTGCCATCCACACGCCTCAGAGGAATCGATATGCATACTGATTGGCTCCTGAGCTTTTAACCATTGAATAACGATCGATATAAACTGAACGCAATCGATTTAAATCGATAAATCAATTTAAGCTCTATCCAGAAAACTTTTAAATTTGATTTTTCTGAGATGTTTTCTGCAGGGAGAAAAATGACCCTTATAACCTACCATGGCCTACTGCCCATCCCTATAGCTCTCACCTATCTAATGAAATGTAAGGTGAGCATTCGCCTTACATGTTGCAATTAAATTTATATTTATATATATATATATATATATATATATATATATATATACACACATATACACACACTAAGGTGCTCATTTCTTTCTGGAAACGAGGCTACTGTACTTCATAAATAACTCAATAATGGCGCACTGCAACCGGCGACTGTCTTCCAAGGCTGTATAACATCGTTCAAGATGAACCAAGAACATTCGAGTTTCCGGCCAACACTACAGGCTGAAACTTCCAGACTGTGAGCAGCAGAGTGACCAGCGGCTACTTACTCTCACAGGAGGAGTCAGTCGATGTGGTTCGTCTTCGCGAACCGTGCTGGTCCAACTTCACCTGAAAGTGGACTTTTTTTCTCCGCAACATCTAAAACGAGCGCCTCGCCGCTCTCCGCACATCCGACCGGAGCGAGCTGCTCGGCTGCAGGCTCACGCCCTGTGTGCGTGAGTGTGTGTGAGTGTGTGTGTGTGTGTGTGAGTGTGTGTCCTAAACTCCGAGCTGAACTGTGCGCGGCCCCGTCTGCTAACAACTCGCCTTTTCCACCGGAACGTAACACGTTTCTACAGCCTCTCACGACGTTTTCAGACCAGTTACCACGACTATCAGCCCTCGGCCGCCTCTGTGTAGCCGAGCCTCTGCTCTCTCTCTCTCTGCTCTGTCACATTTCCACACACACTTCATTGTGTAATCGAGCGCTTCCCCAAAATATCTCGCGAGTCCACTGATGACAGCCGTGGCACATCCTTTAAAAAAGGCCACACGAAACGAGTCTGTGATTAAAAACTGCCCTCAACACCACTGACATTCAGAGAAAACGGTCTTTGCGGAAAGCCACACCTCACAGCCTACCTAACCCTAAATCAGCGCTCACAGTCCGCACCGCTCCGCGCTACCAAGTGCCGGGAATTCACGACAAAATCCGCGTAAAAAGAAAACAAAAACCGACTAACAGCGTTACTTCAAATAACTACCTCGCCATTAGATCGCTAGGCAGCGCATGTCCCTCAGTTTTGTCAGTCTTTCCCCCAGTGTGTAGCGTCTCCTCCCCGAGTCTCTCCTCCAACTCCCCTCGTACCGGCTTCTCCTCACGATCAGCTGGCAGCGCGGTGGCGTCACACGCATCGGCTGGCCAATCAGACGCCGAGCTGGGCGAGGCGCCTCCTCTCATTGGCTGTGAAACGGCTGTGTCTCAAATGCACACCTAGAGCACGGAGTGAGTCAACCACAATCCCTGCTACACACTGTTTTCTTAAGTTTTATACTTTTTCATTTTGAGCGATCAGACTTCACATAACCTGTCCTCCTAGCCAAGGTCCCGTCAGAGAGAGCTGCTTTTACTAAAACATACGGGTCTAGATTCATCTAGAAAGTCCAGAAAGAGAGAGAAGTCTTAGCTAAATCAGGGCTAGGCTTCCCGAAAGCATCTTAGCACAAAGATGACTCATAAATGGTAGAGCGAGCATCGCACCAAACACTCTCTCTAACAGTTAAGATGATCTTAACTCTGTTGTTTTTTTTTTAATGGGCCCAGTCTAGCTACCTAGGTATTGGTATCAGTGGCTAATTTTAATAAACGTATTGAGCTTACAGTGCTAAATATCCAAGACTGACCAAAACATTGCCTGTTCAGAAATGTTTCTTTGCAGTTTTCGACTCACATTCCTGAGTTTCTTGATTCTAAAAACACAAATTTTTGTTATAGCTCTTATTATAAACACGGTTGTCTTAAGTTTTAAGTGGGAAAATTTAACCTCATAACCCAAAGCTGTACTATTTGGCAGTAAATGGCAGCTTTCAAGCTTCACCCCTAAAAAAGTGTATATGTCTGTCTTCTTGGCCAAAATAACAGGCCTGAACTTTAATTAATAGAAAACAATCACAATTTAAATCCCAGTCCCAATACTGATCAGAAAAATCACAATTAGCGATACATGGTTAATTAATAAAGTACAGGTCTCCTCTCAAAAATGAAGGGCTGTGTTTCATTACTGAATCTACCAGTACTTGTACTGTTTCCTTAACTAAGTGCTGCAGATCTATTGAACTGCACAATTTAGTGTTTTCTTATTCTTTAACACACCTGATTCGGATCAGAAGGAATTGTTCATTAGCTTATGTTATGATACAAGTTGGGAACCCTGAGATAAACCTTACCTTTTTTCTGATTGATGAATGACAAATATGTTACCCATTAGTTAAACAGAGAATACCGCAAAGGTCAGGTAACATACATAAGAAAGAAACCTAAGTAAACATGCTGAGTGAGACACACTGCCTAGTGGCCTGTGAAACAATTCCTGAGGTTTATGGTGGGATATGAATTTAACTTGACTACCATTTACACTATTGCCTGTTTTGTGGACGGAAACCTTAATTGGGGCATGCTGAAATTACAGGGATTTCTGTGCATGAACGTGAAAAAAAGAAAAGCAAAGGACAGGAGACATGTTGAACTGGAATTATAGACACAGACATGTCTGTGGCCATATGAACTAAAACTGGCTATAGCAGTAAGCTGTGCTGAGTTAGAAGAGCAGGTTTGTTGCACCAGAGGCTCAGAGTGGCTCAGAGTGTGTAATGATCATGATCATGACTGGTCAGTGCAACAGACAGACAACTCCAGTACCATTGAAACAGCCAGCTACGCAAAAGTTCCCTGGCCAGGTGTCCCAATATGCATATTAAAGGGGACTTCTACCAGTGTAAATATCTGTAAATAAAGTCATTCAGAGTGGTTTGATGTGAAATGGTTCATTATAGAAAATATTACTGATTTCTTTATAATGGTGGTGATAGAAACCAGAGGTTATGATGTTTACAATGCAAATATAGCTATTTTATTTACTATCCAAAATGAGCAGTGAATCTTCCCATGTCTTCTGAGTTTTTTGCAGTATGTAATGTTGACAATTGTAAAACAGTGGAGAAAAATAAATTTTCTTTTGGGATATTTTTGCCTGACAGCACCTGGCATGTACCTGTCCAACATGAATGCATTGAAAAAATTTTAGGACAAAATCTCATCTCAAAACTATCGTAAAACAATGTCTCAGGCATCAGCCAACATATTTGTAACCATGTCATTTAATAGCTTTATATGATTTTAACTTTTAGAATCATTAAATTCCTTTCTAGTTTCTATCATCACTATTGTGAACTATTTTGTCTTGATAAGTTTCTGCAAAAAAGAGCATTTTATATTAACTCATTTTGAATGCCTGTTTACATTTTAATTAATATTAATATTACAGAAATGATGAGAATAATTATAAAGAAAATTTGAAATAAATAAGATAAACTACAAAGGTAACCACACGTTGTGTGTTCTTTTTTTCTATTTATTTATCTTCTAAGAAAAAACTTGCTTATGTTAATTATGCTTTCAGTAAGCACTGCCATCTTTTCATTGCAATTGGACTTTGACCAAAAAAAAGGCAAACAAGTAATTTCTGCATGAAAAATGTATCGTATCATGGCTCAAAACCCACAATATATATTGCATTGTGAAGTTTGTGTACCCTTTCACCTCTGCAATGCAGCAAAAATACAGCATCCTAATGAAAATACTCTCATGATTCCTAACATATTGTCTGGTCAGGCTAAAGAATTGCTGAGGGGTTTAAGCCATAAATCTCACCACTAGCTCTGGAATGCACAATAACGGCAGACTTTGGATGTTGGGTCTCGTGTTTGGCTGGAGGAGAGAGCACGGAAACCTTCTGTTTGGTTCCTGCTGGTAGGCCAGAGTGTCCTGTTTCATTCCACGCCATCTCACATTCCTGCACCTAGATATCTGCAGCAGAGCCCAGCCCTGCTGTGCACTGCACTCCAGGAATACACCGGGTGTTAACCTGCCTTCATATCACCTCACCGCTCTTCACATTCGGCTAAAAAGAGAAGAACTTTGCTCGGTTCTAGTTCAGTAATGCTACCACTGCCATTACTTCAGGAATGTTAAATATTTGCTGCTGTGAGGGCTCTTAATTGAACACAGGAGGCTATAATTCTAGAGCCTCAGCGGAGGCCCGGGCCCAGCCGAGAGGAGGCAGGGAGGATGTTGGCTTTAGTTCATGTCTGAAATCCAACTGAGGAAAAACCATAGTTATAGGTGGGGTGATAGGTGGAGTGTAGCTGTTGTGACAACACCCACATTTCGTGCATTCTGTTGCCTGTACCAGGCTGTGTGCTATCAAAATGTTCTGGGTGTGAGATTCAGTCAGCCCTAGGCAAGACGTGCCAAATATTTGACAACTGCACAAACCCATTTAAGCTCCAGATTTACTTTCCCTGAAACAGTGGTGTAAAGTAACAGTCTAAAGTAACTGGGGGTTTTGTAATGTTTACCTCGGTGATTGGCACTGATTTTGTTCCATTTAGGTCATTGTTGAAAAAAATCAGTTTTTCAGAATTATAATAGTTAAATTGATTATGATTTTTCGGAGTACTTAAATGAGAATTTGTGTATTACCTACTTATTATTTATTACTTGTACAATGTTTAGCTGTTGAGATTTTGAGTGTTTTCATCTGAAATGGTTAATACTCACTCAGATTTCTTTACCATAGTGGTGATAGGAGTTACAATACAAATATAGACATTTTATTTACTGTCCAAAATGACCATCTTATCAGTTGATAATGGTAAAATAGTGGTAAATCTGAAAAAAAGAGAATTTTCTTTGAGGACTATTTTGCCTTACAAGCATGTGCCTCTCCACCATTTTGATTTAAATAAAATAAATTAAGTAAAAATATGTAACAATTTTCTCAAAATTATATAACTATTTCATAAAACAATATATCACATAAAACAATATATCAAAGATCGGGCCGCTTATCCATAACCGTTTTTATGAAATAGCTTTCTGTGAGGGAGCTTTTCGATGCATTAAACACTTTGAAAGTCTGGTTCCTATCACCACCACTGTGAACAATCCTTACTCTGTACATTCCTCTAAAATGGAGCATTTCACCAAACCACTCTGAACGACTTTGTTTACATCTTAACAATATAATTATGAAGACTTTTTAAAATTTCCCAGTGTGGAAAACACTGCCAAAATAAAATGGCAAGCAAAGAACATCTACAAGAACATTTGCAATACAAAACAAAAACATCATGAGAAGCAGCTCAGACTTGAAGCAGATAAATACTCTTACCTCGACTGCCAAGAAGTCAATTTAAGAAATATTTAAAGTTGTATGTTCTGAACCCTAGATCTATCAGCTGCTCAAGACAACAACCAGAGTCACACGGTTCTAATTAGGCATATCTTTAGTCAAGAAACTACAGGAGAGGATTTTTGCAGGACTCCATCCAACACCTTCCATCCTTTTACTTAAGAGAGAGACTGTAAACACGAGTTGTATGTGGTCTAAGTCTGGGAAGGCACTTTCTCTGACTGAGCCTGATTAAGTTAAATACACTAATGCCACACAGTCAAGCTGTGTCTCTACTGTCAGAAACTGTGCAGGTTCCTAATAAATAAAATGAATTAAATTCTTTCTATGTCCAAAGTTTACACTGAATGTAGATGCAGATATGTCAAGTTTGTGTTTTACGGCCTTAAAAAGCCTTTGTAAATAACACAAACATCTTGTACACTGAGCTGAGGACACATTAATCCAGCGCTTAAATGGATTCCAGGAATCTATCGCTCCACTCCAGGCAAGTACCATCCTGCATGAGCCCAGCAGGTAACCTCTGCTGAGAGAACATGACATGTAATTGACTCTGCAGAGAAATATAATCTACTGTTATGATTTTGTTTTTCACTAAATCAGCTTTTCTGATTATTCTTATGACTCAGAAGTGTAATGTTTTTGTCCTTTATGAGTGAAAAGGGCAGCAGATGCAGCTTAACTGAAGAATATACCTCATTCATCACATACTTGCCCCAAAGTATGTTGAGTTGTTAAGTAATCTCAGAATTGCTTTTGTGGTTTCTGACATTGAATAGTGTACTGTTATCTATAAAACTAAAAATGAACAAACCAAAAACAGCCATAACAGCCAGTAACAGTGACTCAAGGCAAAATTGTGTCCATTTCCTCTTCTCTTTATTAGTAAAAAGGGCAG